ACAGCAAACACCAGTCCAGTTAGAAAGTGGGCCAAAGACAGTTTGCTAAAGAGGATATGTAGAAGGCAAATAAACAATTTAAAAGATGGTCAACATCATTAGACATTAGCAAAATTGAAATTAAAACCAGAGTAAGCTATTACAATGACAAAAAATAGCAATAACACTACCTGTTGGCAAGGATGTGGAGAAACTGAATCACTTCTCCCTTTCTGATGGCAATGTAAAATGGTATAGTCACTATGGAAAACAGTTTGACAGTTTAAAAAAAAATACATATAACTACCATATGACCCAGCAACTGCACTTCTGGGTATTTATCCCAGAGAAATGAAAATTTATGTTCACACAAAGCCAGGTGTAGAAACATTTATAGATACTTTATTCGTAACAGCCCCAAACTGGGAACAACTTAGATGTCTTTCAATGGGTGGATGGTTGAATAAACTATGGCACATGAACTCTATGGACTACTACCCAGCAACCCAGCAACCACACTCACACACACACACACACACACACACACACACACACACACACCTGAATGAATCTCTGGTAATTATGCTGAGTAAAAAAGTCAGTCCCCAAAAGTTACATATTGTATGATTCTATTTATATACATTTTCAGGCAAGTGCTCTACCACTGAGCTATATCTCCAGCCTTTTTATGGCATTTTTGAGATGACAAAAATTCTAGAAATGGAGAACAGATGCCTGGTTTCCAGGGATGAGAGGGTAGATGGGAAGAAGGTAGCATATAAGATACTCTTGTAGCTGGAAATGCTATATTGCAAATTGTTCATTTGTTTGGACATTGTACTGTAGTTTTGCAAGATGTAACTACTATTGAGGGAATGTGGGCAGAGAGGATGTTAGATCTCTCTCCATTATTTCTTAAACTGCATGTTATTCTACAATTATCTAAAAATGAAAAAAAAAGTGTTTAATAAAAGTAAGCTAGTGCAGAAGGAAAAGAGTCTTAACTAAAGAAGCACTAAAAGGCAGTTATGGTCAAGGAAGAAGTGAGGGAAAAACGAACAAACGTGGAAGAAAAAAGAATAAAATTGAAGGAAACGGGAAGAATAGGGGGAGAGGAAGTCAAATGTGACTGAGTCCTTCTGAGGAGCTGAGAGGTCAGGATATCCGCTCAAGAAACTCGGGCCAGGGCCCCCAGGCTGTCCACAGGCCCATATCTGGGTCTTGGCTCACATTCTCCACCTGGCCCTGCCAATCTTCCTTCCAGCTACCTGTGTCTAACCTGTGCTCTCGCCTCCAGGTGTGGAGATCACCAGCACATCTGTTTTGCAAAGCCCCATGGAAGCCTTCCCTATTTCCCCCTGGCAGAGTCCACCTTTCCCCTGTGGCCCTCTGGGCCTGTCCCTAATGGCACTTGTCCCTGACACTGTGACTTATTCCTGAGCAGGTCTGCATTCCCCTAAGGACAGCTCAGGCAGTGTGCAAACAATCCAATCTTCCACCTCAGGTGCCTGTGCAAGGTCTAGCCTGTGGTAGGAGCTCCACATACTTTTGTATAAGAATATGAAGGACATTTGTGTTCATCTAATAAAGGGCCCTGGGGTCTGGACACCTGTGCCTTCTGTTCACCCTGGAGGATGGTCACCTTCTTGAAGCAGGGCAGCACCTCATGCCTTTATTCTTCTGTGCTCAAGTCAGCACTCGGCTCAGGTTCCAAGTGCTCAAAGTTCAATCTGTTCTGGAGTGGGTGGGGGGTGGCAAGAGTCTGAGAATAAGACCCAGGCCCAAGTTGGGCCCCAGCTACCATTTGAGATACCCTAGGCTTTTCTCCTTTTTTCCTTTCTGAGCCCAAGAAATGATGTAGGATGATAGCTCTGGGGCCTCCCTGACAGTAAGATAAGACCAGGAGCCTGAAATGCGAGAGAATATAACATGCAGGGGTGAGATGCACACCAGCCCCTACAACCAACTTGAAGGGATGGGAGTGAAATTACAATCTTGATCTTCGTGTTCTCCTCCAATGTTCTGGCCCCAGACTTTCCGGTCACCCTATGGGTTGATACACCTTCCAAATGGTCAGATTATCCCTGACCTTTGACCTCAGCCAGCACTGGCCTGGAATGAAAATGGAACTTAACATTTAAACCCCAGCCAGGAACTCCAGGGCCACATGTTAAAGGTTTGGCTCTGACATTTAACTTAACAAGGCTCTTGGCAAGGCTTATTGGAATTCAGGGCTCTCAGGCCTAGAATAGCTCCCTTATCAGAATGTCAAGGTAGGAGGGGCCAAATAGGCCGCAGCAGTGTCCATACTGTCCCTCCATCCCTCCTTCAGGAACCAGAAGCTGTCTGCTGTTTTAAAATTATTTCAGGGGAAACCACTTCACAATTCTTTTTGAAACAATGCATTCAGGCATTTTTATTCAAATGCCTCCCTACAATCCTTTATGCCTCAACTCCCATTCTTCTTGTCCTTAGGGAAAAAAAAAAAACAGAAGAAGTCCTCCATGGCTGACAATTATCTCAGCAGTCATCAGATGATGGGTCCCCTCTTAGAAATGCCACCAGCTCCCAGTGACCACTTTGTGGCTCATGCACAGTGAAAAGTTTAATCTAAAAACAGCTCCCTTGAACTACCTAATGGATTCCTGCCCCCACCCCCTATACTCTCTCCATCATCCTTCCACCTCCAGCCTTAAAATTCAATCAGTATTGGCTCAGAGAATGCAAGCAAGCTTTTGCTGACATTCTCCTAGATGGAAAGCATAACCCTGCCCAAATGACTACATTCCAAAGTCTTCAAACATTAATTATTCCAGGTGCATGCTAGGTGACCAAATAAGTGACTGTTGAACTGATTGAAAGACAAAAACCAGTTTCAGTTTTCCAGTGCAGGATGGGCAGCATAGCTTTTCGTGGCTTTGCCTGCAGAAGGCAGGCAAAATCCTGTCATTTTAAGAGCAAATGGGGACTAGAAAATGGACACCGGTCACTTCTTTCCTGTGGGTTGACTATATCAGAGATGACCAGAGCAACCTTAAGGGTCTCAGAATTCCTGACAAGAACCCCAGTGAAGAGCTTGCAGAAAGCTCCCAGCAGGTCTTGCTAAGGAGCCCTCTGCTAGAAGCAGCGAGGCCAAGAGAGCGCTGGGACAACCACACAAATGAGTCTGCCAGAACGACAGAAGGATGCGGGGAAGGCTCAGGGGGACCTTTGTGTGGCCCAGCTCTGACTTCAGCCAGGAGGCAGCTCTGCCATGGGGCAGTTGGGGCAGAGCGAGCAATATGCCCACCCTTATTCTGGCCTCCTCCTACAGCTGAACTGCTGGCTGATGGAATACTCATTTCTGCTTAATGCAGACATGCTACTGAAGTAAGAGATGCTGCCTGTGAGGAACACCAGCAGCACCTAGCAGTTCTTGGAAGAGCCATGCCCTACTGGTAGGTTTCCTTTCTGTTGGAGAGCTGAGTAGTAAGTCCAGGGAGGATTGCTGGGCATTGTGGAGCACGCCGGCAAGTCCTCTAGATGAAAGTTCCTTTCTTTTAACAGTTGGCCCTGCTGGTGAGCTTCCCAGGAGCGAGGATCAAGCACACACCCTGTGCCCCAGGACTCCTGCTGCAGGCTGTGCCTCGCTTTAGGCAAAACGATGCATCTCAGTGGCTCAGCAATCTGCAATCCCAGTGAAATCCACTGGGCTTTTTATGTCAGAGCCCAAGCCAACGCTCTTCTCTCTGACCCCAGAGCATTCACTCTGCTCTGTTCATCTGCCAGAGTCCAGGCCAATAGGGGATGGGATTTCCACCTGCTTCTAAGCAAAAGGCATGGGTCTGGGCTTTGCAGGGTTGCTCTTTGATAATGGAAAGCCCCTCATTTGAAGCCAGAGGACAGGGATTTAGAGGATGATAGCACTGCCCCTTAGTGCTCCCAATTCTGTCCGTCTCATCTATAAAACAGGAGCACTCACTCTGCCTCACAGGAATGGTGTGGGATTACCTCACTCAGATGCCTAGCTCAGCACCTTGGGTCCATAAGCTTAGCTGCTTCTCACTGCCTCTTCCTCACACATGGGAAAGCGCCCCAGGAACCAGCAAGCTCCAGAATGCACAGCTTGCTTATGATGAAGGCAAGGAATGTTTTGCAGTCAGACCCAGGTGAGAACCTCCCTTTATCGGCTGTTGTTTCTTACCTGTAGAACGAGGCTGATAATCTCAGTTTCATTAAGAGGATTAAAAGAGAATAAAGTACTTTGCAAACATGCATGTTCCCAATGATCATTATCTGGCATTTGAAAGGGTTCTTGGAAGAGGTGTTCGGTTGTCATTCCACCTCACCTCCTGTTCTGGGGGTTCTGAAACCAGACAGGGTCTAAGCAGCCAGCACTGACCCAGGTCTGTTTCACAGCCTGGCAGGGAGAGCCCTGTTTGAGGAAAGGCACAGGCAGAACCAGGGGTGCTGGGAACAGCCATCCCAGGAGATACACCAGCCCTGGCGAGGAGAAGGGGTTGACAAGGCCACTCCTCTGCAGTTACCATCCTTGTCCTTGGAGTCCTGACCCCTGCCTTCCCACAGGAAGTGACCCAGGCAGAGAGGAGGCAGAAGTAACAAGGTTGCCTTCCTAGTTTGGCCAGACTTAAAACAGAAAGCAAGATTAAGCAAGGATCCAAGGCTAAGGGAATCAGAGCCCCCACCCTGCCCCTCTCTGGCCCCACTGAAGGTAAAGCTGCTACCTAGGGATCAGTGTCCTTCTGCCCTCCTCTCAGTCCCCTGGCCTCTCCAACCAAGAATGGGAGATTTGGGGCACCCCAGGGAGGGACTCCCCACCCCAGGGCAGCCACCATGGCTACAGACTTCTCTAATTTCCTTGTGAACTTTGGGCCCTCCCTGAGCTTTTTACCTTCTCTTCTGACTGGTTCCTTGGGAAAGGCTGCAGCCAGGGGTAGTGTCCCCCGCCGCCCCCCTCAAGTGTCCATTCTCCCTTCCCTGGGGCTGGGGGAGAAGTGGAGGAGGCAAAGAAGACAACTTACTTGTTGAGATCGCAGCTGCCAAGTCCCACTGATGCTAACTCCTGGGGTGTCCCTCAGAGCTGGTGCAGGGGGCCTTCAAGGCTTTTGGGGGGACTCCCTACCCTTTAGCGTCTCTCCCTGGTTCTGGGTCCTGTGAGCAGAGGCGACTAAAGCATCCTGTCCTCCGCTTGCCAGCCTCTCAGTCACTCCCCTTCTTCAGCAGGAGCAGCTGGAGGCGCTTGCTCCTGTCTGCCTGCCTCTCTCCCTCTCTCTCTCTCTCTCCCCCTCTGACTTCTTTCCTCCTCCCTCCCTCCCCTCTCCTCCCTCTCGCCTCCCCCAGCTCACCTCCCCCTGTCTCCACTACAAAGGAATCTCTGGATACTAGCACGATTTAAAGGGCCACAGGCCAAGGCGGTGGGGCGGGGTGGGGTTGAACTGGGGCTGCGTGTGACCCCAGGATGCTGTCCAGAAGGGCGGGTGCCCTCAGCCCTTCCCTCCGCGAGGCTCGGCCGCCTCCCGGCCACACCGGCTGGGTCCTGGAGTGCAGGGTCCAGACCGGTGCGCGTGGGTGCGCGTGTGTTCTTGGGTGCGGCTGAGCAGACAGAAGAAACTCTTAGGGCGGAAAATATGGGCTGGCACCGCGCTGTGGAGAGGAGCTGCTGGGTCACCGTGCAGGTAGAGGGGGCGGGGCGGGGCGGGGGGTGTGTGTCCCCCACTGAAAGACAGGTGGGAACTGGTGCATTCCTAGGCATGGGCGGGGCCACTTGGCCATCTCCCTGCCTTCCCTTTTGGGTTCCTCTTGGCTTTGAGGAAGGATACATTAATCTATAATTTGTGTGCCTTAGGAAGTCACCCTGCTGCTGTCTGGGACTGCTGGCAGGTGTCCAACTGGCCCTTCTTACCTGATGGTGTTACCTCTGGCCCCTCTCTGTCTGTTCCCAGCCTTTTGGTTGAACACCGCAGCAATTCCAGGCCCTGCCTCTCTCTTTCCTTTCTGAGGAGGACATCACTTGATCTGGCCCATGGTATCTCCAGCTCCTCTGGCGTTCTGTGAGGTGAATATTTATCCTGTGCATGGTGAGTACCAAAAGGAAACCCGTGTATTCCATTATAAGGAGAAACTGCTTGTCCCTGGAACTAGAGTAACTTGCTGAGCCCCCAGGGCTTTGAGCGGGTCTGTCTGGGTTTGCCCCTCCACCCCTCTGCTCTCTTTATAGAGAGGTTAATTACTAAGTAAGGCTGCCACGGGCCCTGACTACAAGGAAGTTTCTGTCCTCCTGAGGAATGTTACTGTCTTGGTTGATCTTAGGGTTTAACACTCTGAGAAGAAAGTGCTTGATTCTTTAATTTCCTAGTCTTGGAAAAGGCCTCTTTGGTGTAGTTCTGAGGTCCAGATAACACACATTGTAAGCATTTACTGATGCGGAGAGACGCTCTGTCCTGGAACAGCAGCATTCTTTCGGTTAAGTGTGGTGCCTGTGGTATGCCTTCTCTCCTGATCAGTTGATGTATCAGCATTCAGGAGAGTAATATTTAATATACAAGATAGTTTATATATAGGATTTACAAGGTAGGCTTGCAATGGTCACCTGCAGAGCCAGGTGTGGAAGAGCTGGTCAATCTATTCAAAACTGGGAGACCTGGAGCTCACTGCCCAGTCCTACTGGAGTCTGTATTGAGAAGCCCAAGGGTCTACATTGGAAGCCTGAAGAGTCTGCACTGGAAGGGGAAGAACGTGCTGGAAACCTGGTGATGGATGTCCAAAGATGATGGTGGAGACTGGAGCTCCTCTGAAGAAGCAGAAATGAGATTTTCTTCATCCTTCCCTTTTTATTCCATTCAGGCTACAAGGTTATTGGTTGATGCCACTCACACCCAGGGTGCATCTTCTCTCTTCACTAAGTCCCTCATTCAGCCACACCCAGAACTATGCTAAGCCAATCAGCTGGGTGTTCTTATTCAAGCTGACACAACAGTTAACTATGATAGTTGACTTTCCAATGGAACATGGTGTGGCCCGGGAAATACTGCTTTGCAAATATTCTTTCAGTGATGGGACCTTGGGCCATGAGACAGGAAATCTGTGCCTAGTGTTCAGCCGACACCTGAAAGGTGAGAAATAGGGGTATTTTAATCCTGATTGGTTGTTGGAAATTTAGGGTAATCTTCACTCTCATATGCTTAAGTCTCCCAAAGAGCACAGATGAGACTTGGGGTGAAGTGACACAACTGTGAAGCTACTCAGGTAGCTTTGGAAGGTGCTAGATGCATCTTATATGCTCTGAAAACTGATGAGGAAGTGTGAGAAAGCAACAGAATTTATATGGATTATCACTGCTAATTAGTGTGCAGACCACCTCCTCTGTCCCCTTTTATCTGTCTCTCTTACCTTCTTTCATGAAGCAGGAGATGAATTCACAATTCAAGTTTTCTCTTTAGAATATGACACTTACAGGAAATTATATTTTCTCCTATTTATAGCTTTTTCATTTGCATTTATGAAGCTGGTAATGTCTCATAAATATTTCTTGCCAGATTAAATATTAATCAGTAGAGTTTGTTGAATTATATTCTGAAACCCTAACTAAATCTCTTCTAAGACAAATATTTTAAGTACTTTTCCCTCATGTCAGAAGAATTTCTCATATACTACTTGTATATGTTAATAAGTTTATCTAGAAAGACCAACTATCTATCAATTAATGAAATCTAATTTCTCACTTTTACAAAATCATGTGACTGCTATCCTGGTAAACGCAAAATATTGGCGACACCGTTGAATCCATTCTAGATTATATCATTTTTCCTCAAAAAAGAGTCAGCAACCTGAATTTACTGTTCCTGTTTCCTGTGTTTTTTTGTACTGAAACTATGAATCACTCTCCCATTCAATCAGTGAATATTGGTTATTTATACACGAGTTCCCCCTTAATATCAAGTGTAAAGCTCCATTTTGAGGAGTGTGATGAAATCTCACACCTTTTACTTCCTCTATCCAGCCATGTGAAGCAACCTTCAGGAAGTATCGCCCCTCTACATATGCTACGCACCTGCTCCTCTCTTGGCAGCCACCGAGGCTATCAGATTGGCCGATGGATGTACCATGGTACTAATGGTCCAATAATCCTTATTTTATTCAATAATGGCTCAAAAGCCCAAGAGGAGTGATGTTGGCTATTCAGATGTGCCAAAGAAAAGCTGTAAAGTACTTCCTTTAGATAAAAAGATGAGTTTTTAAATTAACAGGGAAATAAAACATTGTATACTGAGGTTTCTATGGCATACAGTAAGAATGAAACTTTGAGAAATTACAGAGAAGGAAAAAGTAATTCCTGCTGGTTTTGCTGTCACACCTAAACTGCAAAAGCTATGATCATAGTATGCGGTCAGTGCCAGTTAGGACAGAAAAGACATTAAATCTGTGTATGTATTTATTGGAAAAAACAGCATATGTAGGGTTTGATGCTATCCTGGCTTCCAGCATTCACTGGGGGTCTTGGGACATATCCTCCACAGGTAAGGGGGTGCAACTTAAATATTTTTATATTCAGAAACTCTCGGTTGATTAGGCTTGTTATGTTTGATACATTGGATAGGTGTTGTGGCAGAAGCTAAAAAGCGTAACGGTGGACTTTGATAAAAAATGCCTCCGATCTAATTGGGAAGGCCAGCATATGCAGGAAGAGTTAGCAGAGTAATTAACAACGTGGGGATTTAATTCCTGGGTGATAATTGAGTGGTGGTGTGGAAGTGACATGAAAGATAACAAAGCCTGGAGAAAGGAGCTGAGGGAGACCTCTGCCTGGCTGCCAGAAGCTGAACTAGGGCTGGGGACAGGATATGCAGATGAAGAGAGGAGCAGGCTAGGAGCAGGCTCAGCAGGCTCCCTGAGTCTAGGGACTGGAGGTGAAGGGGTGCCACTCCTTCGGATTGGGACTGGGGAGGCTCAGTGATGAGGACAGTGCCTGTCATTAATGGAGTGCCTGCTGTGTGCTGAGCCCTGCCAGGTGCTTCTCATAAGTAGCTGTAATTTTCTTAATACCCACGTGAGAGAAGTCTCAGACAAGCATAGTGGCTTCTCGTGCAGTTACTACTAAGTGAATTTCAGAGCATCTATCAGAACCTGGTTCTGTTGTATTCTAAAATCACATTTCCAATTGTTAGGGGCTCAGTTGTGTCCCTCTCAAATTCATATGTGGAATCCTAACCCTAGTACTTCAGTGTGGGACTATGATTGGAGACAGAGCCATTAGAGGGATTAAATTCAAAGGACGCCATTAAGGTGCACATTAATCCAATTTGACTGATGCTCTTGTAAGAAGAGGATGATTGGGACACAAACAGACACCAGGGATGTTCAGGCACAAAGAAAGACTATGCAAGGACACAGAGAGAAGATTGTCACTTACAAGCCAAAGAGAGAAGCCCCAGGAGAAGCCAGATCCATCACTACCTTGCTCTTGGGCTTTCTGCCTCCAGGAAGGTGAAAAGGAAATTTCTGTTAAGTTCCCAGTCTGCAGACAGCTTTAGTTAGGGCAGGCCTAGCAAGCAAACCATGAACCTCCATTCCTGTCTACCTCTCAGATGGACCTTGAACCCCAGCTCCAGAGCAGAGTCTTTATTCTGCAGGTGGGAAGTAATTATTGTAGATTTCTGGGTTCGGGAGAATTAGTCACTGTGGAGACTTCCCTGGGGGAGGTTTGTGTACTTTTCATTCATTTCTTTAACACAACGAATAATTACAGACCCCCTATTTAGCAACCTCTGTGATTGCAGGGACCGTATTTGTCTTGTTCGTGTCTGAGCCTTACTTACTCCCTGTGCTGTGCCTGCCCAGAATCAGGCACATAGTAGATTGACAAATATTGTTGAGTGAAAGAGCGGATGTGGGCTAAGTTGTAGGGCTGGGAAAGATGACGAGACCACACAGAGGTCACCTTCAAGGAGCTGACAGTCTGCTGAGCATGGTGGTCAGTGCACAAGGAGTTCCACAAGGCGATCCTGGGGTGAGGCGGAGATTAGCAAGTGGTGCTGCCCTACGGGGAACTCTTGGAAAGATTGTCTTCATCCATTTCGTATAATGTGGCTCTTGACCATGTGAAATGTGTCCACTCTAAGAAACAGAATTTTAAATTTTAAGTGATTTTCAATTAAATTGGGGCAATGAATGGTGGCCACTGTATTGCACAGCGCAGGGCTAGAGGCCAGGAGAGTGCTGGGGGCTGGGCACCGGTGCCAGTCTGAGGTGACAGGGCTACCACAGCAGAGGAGGAGGGGCCCTCCCTGCTCACCCTTCGGAGTGCGGCACAGCCGTGCGTGGCGGTGCAGGCCTGTGGTGCCAGCACTCTGCCAGGCTGAAGCGCACTGGAGGCCAGAGAAGTTCTGATTAGCATGACCCTGTTTTAATTT